TTGGCTGCTGCTTTTCTCTCCTCCTGTGCCAGCTGCCTGAAAATTAAATTAGCATTTGCTAGAAACTATTGTCTGATATATAGTAGGTCTGGGTTGTCATAATCTTGATTGTCATCAACAGACATATATTAAGAACTTATGAGTGAGCCACTGTGGTATTTAATATGTAGACTGTAGGCCTGGGCAGTCCTAGGCATGAATCCTAGATCCACCACTTCCTGTGGGACATTGAGCAAGTTATTTAGCCTCTGTTAGTCATGGTTTCTTCCTCTGTAAAATGGGATTCATACTCTTTACATCCTAAGATGACGAAGAGTAAATGAGACGATCTTTATAAAAGGCCTAACGTAGTACCTGGCACATAGTAGGCCCTGTTCTGTTATGATCTCATATAAAAGTCTGATGATATGGCTTATGGTGATGATGATGATGGCGGCTGACACTTAAATAACACTATTAATGTTCTAATTGCTTTACAACTGTTAACTTATTGAATCCTCAGACAGGCCTATAAACTAGGTGCTATTATTAGCCCCATTTTATAGATGAAACAGAGAGGTTAAGTAAGTTGGCCCAAAGTCATACGGCTAAGTTTCTCAGCCAGGACTAGACTGAGGCAATTTGGCCCCAAGTGCATGCCCTTAATCATCAGGCTGTATCGCTTCTAATATATACCCTGCCTCTCGTTGCACAGTGTGACCTAAAGTTATCAATCTGGCCTTTCCAGGGGAAAACGTGCAAAATAGTCTTTCTCTGTGAAATATCTTATCCAGCGTTTGGGCAAGAATTAGGAGAGAAATTGAGATTTGCAATAGGCAGTTTTCTGTTTGGGTCTAGATCTCAAGTCTCATCTATAGCTTAACTACCCTGCCTTCCCCAAAGTTAAGACCCATCCGTCCTTTGCTAAGTTTAGAAGTGGGTTTCCAAGTTGTTCCTTAGCTTTTATGGAAGACCATGGAGTCCCGAGAGTGGAAGATGATGTGGAACCTGTTACTTAAAAAACTGGGCATGCATAGGAATATTCTGAAAGACGGGGAGAGAGTCTTCCTGGATGGATGGAAAGATAAGGTGATCCTGTCTTCATAAGGAACCAGGATACAGCCATAGCATGGGATATTTAGCATGTGTGGATTTCATTAAAAGAAATTATTTCAGATCATTTATCATAGAAATGAATGTATAGAAACCACAAGTTAAGTAATTTAGAACCCAGGTGAATCCATGAATCTACAAAAAATATATATACTTAAGGTACAAACTATGGCTTTTTATAATTAGTCTGTAATTTACAGTTTGTAAAAGGAAGAAACCTTCAAAATACATAGGCTGTAGGGCCAAAGACCCTTGGGTTTCATTTTCCCCTCCTGCTTCCTACCTGTGTGATCTTAGGCTAGTTACTTCACCCTGCCAACCTTCAGGGTCTCAATCTGTCAAATGAGGATAATAATATCTGCCTCTAAGAGTTGCTGTGAGGATTCAGTAAGCTAACATATGCAGCATGCTTGCATATAATGGTCATGCAGTAATTGAGAGTTATCATAATATAATGAATATAATGAAGCCTAATAATACTTGGCTTCAAGGAGAAAGTCCTAAAGCTACTTTTAGGAAACAAACTATTTTAGTAGAAATATCTACATTGACATATACACACTGCCATATATAAAATAGATAATCAACAAGAATCTACTGTATAGCACAGGGAACTCTACTCAGTACTCTATGGGAACCTATGTGGGAAAAGAATCTGAAAAAGAACAGACACATGTATATGTATAACTGAATCACTTTGTTGTACACCTGAAACTAACACAACATGTAAATCAACTCTGCTCCAATATAAAATAAAATCAAAATAAGTAAATAAATAATATTATAGTCCCCCCCAAAAAAAGAAAAGAAATATCTACAAAACCCAAGAAATAAGAAAGTGAATATGGAATGGTGGCATTTGTGGCTTAGAGAGTGATGCGGGGACTTGTGTTTAGGGATAAGGGGCCCTTCCTAGTACTCCCTGCCTCCTCTGGTTTCCCCCATCCACGTCTCCCAGACAGCTACAGGGACCAAAAGGAAAAAGAGTACAAAGGAGACCAGCCTGAAATACACCTTGATGTGGCCAGGCCTTGGCTCCCTGAATCAGGAAAGGGGTGACTTGCTTACCATCCAGTTGTCAGGTAGGCGAACAGCTCTAGATGCCCAAAACCCTATATATACTGTGCCTAGAGAGATTACAGGGTTACTTAAGATGAAACTATTGATCTACATAAACAGATGATGTCTAGTTTTGATTAAACTATTGCAAATGAAAGACCCATTGGAGATGCCACAGGGTGTGGTAATTACAGTATCCTCAGAAAAATGACACAGTAAGAAATTGGAGGGCTTATAAGTATATATGATGTTTTAAAAATTATAAAAGTGAAAAAAGAGTTCCCTGGCGGTCCAGTAGTTACGACGCAGGCTTTCACTGCCGTGGACTCTGGTTCGATCCCTGGTCAGGAAACTAAGCCGCGGCACGGCCAACGGGAAAAAAAATTATAAAGGTAGCCTTTATTTAAGTAATTATAGGAAATTTGAAAAATACAGGAAAACACTAAGGAAAAATAAAAACATTCATTATCCCAGTATCCAGTGTAACTACTATTCACATTCTGGAAATAACCTTCCAGTATGTACCCCACCCCCCGCCATGACTTTACATATATTTTTCATAATTACAATCATCTTACACATATTGTGTTATAATTTGCTATTTTCATAAAGTAGCATATTATAAATGTGTTCGATAAAATCAAATACTTTTGCAGCATCACTTTTAATATCTCCATGGTATTTCACAATATTTTGTTTAATCAGTTTCCCTGTTGTTAGATCTAGGTTATTCCCAAATTTTGACTATCATTAAAAAATGAATTATTGTAGGTAAACTTTGTACCCAGATTTCACTGTAAAGTCATAGGAGTGGATATCAGTGCGTATATATGCTATGTTGCTGGGAGATCTAGGGGTGGGACAGTTGGAGATTAACAGGCCAGTGTTTTAGAAAGCAGCTCTCTGGGTTCAGGGGTGGTTCTCTTCTCTCTAATGGGCTGCCCACAGCTGTGAAAGGTGGGTGTTAGGGAGGGGGGGTGGGCAGAGCTGTTGGGGGAGGGATCATAGGAATCTCTCACCAGCTCTGTTTTCTTAAAGTTCAGCTGGGCATGACTTTTCGGTGATTATTTCCACCAGTGAATATGAAAGCATCCAGTGATGAGCAGCAAGCATGCTTGGTAATTGACAGATGTCGGCACTGACAGGTGATGGGTAGTGGAGAATAAGAATTATCTGTATTTCCATAACTTTATTTGCTTAATATTTTTGAAATTAAAATTGAACTATGGGGGCTTCCCTGGTGGCGCAGTGGTTGAGAGTCCGCCTGCCGATGCAGGGGACACGGGTTCGTGCCCCAGTCCGGGAAGATCCCACATGCCACGGAGCAGCTGGGCCCGTGAGCCGTGGCCGCTGAGCCTGTGCGTCCGGAGCCTGTGCTCCTCAACGGGAGAGGCCACAACAGTGAGAGGCCCGCGTACCGCAAAAAAAAAAAAAATTGAACTATGTATAATGTTGAACTACAATACCTTCTTGACCTGAATACAGTGTATTAGAGTTTATAAGAATTGTGTAGACTTCTGAGCATGTATTACCTTAAATAGTTGTATGTGTCTTGAGCATTGTTAACTTAGTGAAGGTTTAAAACCTGTAAGTAGTGTAAAAAGGACTGAATGTATGTAAGAACTCTGATAATTGGCAGAAATGCTAATGAAATACCAATTAGAGGAAGGATCAAATATACCATGAAAGTGAACTGAAACTCTACAATGCTGCAGATGAACTTAGAATGTGGGGGAGGAGAATGACTTGAGATGAGTGAAATGCCTCAGACTGATGAAGGAGAAGTGTTGGATGTAAATAATCAACAAGTTGAGGACAGCTGAGGAACACATCTAAAAATATGTGTTCCACCTGGAATCCCTGTAAGGCCTCTGATGCTTCATCAGATCTCTCACACCTCTGCTGTCTGACCAAGCAGGCCTTTCATAGTCAAAATAATAAGCCAGTTTCTTACACCTCTAATCTTTCAGTAACCATTAACAACAGGAGCAGTCTTTTGAATCCGATCATTGGACCCCGTTAGGTGTTATCTGAGAAGAACAAGATTTGTCATTTGGCTTTACAAAGAAATACATGAATAAATGTATAAAATGCCCCAGTGTTTTAAGATCTGCCAGAATCCCTTTGTGATGCAGGGTAACTGATATTCCTGGTTTTCAGTATTATTGAACCTCTGCCTCTTGTGTTTTCATAAATATTTCAACAAAAACACGAATCAGCAGCCACTTGTCCTTCTGTCATCATAACCCAAAAACCTGGAATTTATTTTTTAACCCCATCTACGTTTTAGAATTTTTTTTGCATTTTTGGACTGTCATTATATTCGAGTTCTAAACATACCTTATTCCTGCTTATAATTGATTATTCATTATCATATAATAATTATTAATAAATAGTTTTGTAGGACTGCCTCCTATGAGGCAGGTACATTACTACGTAAGCATTTTTCCTGTAGCATCTCTGATCTTCACAATAATCCTTCAGGGTATAAGTATTCGCACATTACATATTAGGAAACAGAGATTCAGAGAAGGTAGGGTACCTGCTCATATCTGGGAAACCATCGTAGCCACATTGTGATTCCAAGTCAGTCTGACTCAAAAGCTTTCTATCTCTCATCCTGTTTTGGGGAGAACTGAGTAAAAATAGACCTGATAATAGAACAGACAAGTGTGTGAAGCCATGTGGAAAAAAAACTCAAACTCTTCCCTCTTGGATTGGGAGACCCCAAACAGACTTCAGTGTTTTCCTCATGTTTTATCAGCTTTTCACTGGGGTGTGGTGTTTTTCCAATGTTAAATTCACTGTTTCAGACTGCCTCCCCTCCTCCTGCCCCTTTGATCTTCCAGGCCCTCAGTACCGCCTGGAGAAGCAGAGCGAGCCCAATGTCGCTGTGGACCTGGAGAGCACTTTGGAGAGCCAGAGCGCCTGGGAGTTCTGTCTGGTCCGCGAGAACAGTACGTTGGCCTCCTCGCTCCGTGCCTGCTTTGTCCGTTGCAACATGCTTAAAAGTCCTGTATTTGGGAATACTCACTGGTCTGGCCTCCCTAGGCTGATTTGAGGTGACTTTGTTTTCCAAGGCAGACATCAGCCTTCATGCCAGAATTGTATCCCAGAGTGAAATGATTGATTTCATGCTTTTTGGGAAATGGTCTGCATCCTGTTTAGCCCTCTGTGATTAATATTTATCTGTTAAACTTTATCATCCTAAGTTAGGAACAGTCCTGGAAACAGTTTAGAAATATGAGGCCTTTTCTGTGGCAAAGGCTATATTGTATATAAAGCAACTGGCCCTGTCAGTATCACTGTTCGGTCATCAGGTTTTAGAAAATTCTGGCCATTTTCATACTCTTGGCTGGAGGCAATGTAGTAGTTCCTAGTGCTATGCAGAAAGCTTCTTTAAAAGTTCAGTTAATTTCTTTCATTCACTCTTTAGAGTTTCAGACTTATGAATTTTAGCCATTCCTCTCCTCTACACTCCTGTTGACTTAAGGGGCGAGTGACATGTGAAAACTGTGATCACAACAGCCGACTCTCCATCATTCCTGCTTCAGGGCTTTTAGGCAGGCAGTTTCTTCTGTGTGGAACACTTTCCCCTACTCTGGTTAACTTTTTTATCCTTCTTCTCAGTTTAAATGTCACCTCGACAGAGGCCACCTGTGATCTCCCTGTCCCCTCATTGCCTAAACCTGACCCGTTCCTCATTTGGGTCCCCTGTTATATTCCATCATAGAGCATAGTACTTTTTTTTCATTGCATGTATTTCTGTTTATAATTATTTATTTTTCCCAATGATTGATTGATGTCTGTCTCTCACACTAGATTTTCAAGTCTTTGAGGGTATCCCATACCAGGTTGACATTCATTAATTTAGCAAATATTCTCTCATCACCCACTACGGGCCTTGTCCTGCGTATAGTAACTCTAGTAGATTCTGTTTCAAAATGTTTCATGTTGACTCCATGTTATACGAATAAGATAAAATGTTATTTGTTAGGATCTTGGTATATATTTTGGATATATAACACTTACACATGCAAAAAAATTTCAGATAACAAAGTATCTAAAGTGAAAACTTTTAGCCTCTCATCTCTCCCCTAATTCCTCTCCCGGAGACAACAGTTGTTCCCAGTGATTTTGGTGTCTTTGCAGGGATCATCTAAGCACATGCAAGCATATTCTGTATATGTATATGAATGTACCCACACAAAGACATATATATACACACACGTATTTCCCTCCTTTTATTTTTTTTATTTAATTAATTAATTTATTTTATTTATTTTTGGCTGCGTTGGGTCTTCCTTGCTGCGTGTGTGCTTTCTCTAGTTGCGGCGAGAGGGGCCTACTCTTCGTTGCAGTGCCTGGGCTTCTCAATGCGTTGGCTTCTCTTGTTGCAGAGCATGGGCTCTAGGCACGCGGGCTTCCGTAGTTGTGGCTCGCGGGCTCTAGAGCTCAGGCTCAGTAGTTGTGGTGCACGGGCTTCATTGCTCCACGGCATGTGGGAACTTCCCGGACCAGGGCTTGAACCCTTGTCCCCTGCATTGGCAGGCGGATTCTTAACCACTGCGCCACCAGGGAAGCCCTTCCCTCCTTTTAAAAACAAAATGGTAGCAAACTGTCATCAGTGTTCTACATTTTTCTTTTATCATTGTAACACTATGTGACATAGAGAGTACTCCATATTCTATATCAATCCATATATTATTCCGTATATAGATTTACCTCTTTCTTTTTTAACTGCTGCATAGTATTTCACAGTATACTGTGATTCCAAATTAGATGTGTCCTAGGTTTGTTTAGTTTCATTTCTTTTTTCTTTTAAGATAAGGTTCTTATACTAGGAAAGAGAAGCTATGAGGATTGGTGGATAAAGATTTGAAATCTGAGCTCTTGTTGTCACTCCACTTCTAAGTACGAGCATAGTCTTAATTAAGTTGTATGACCTCTGTCAGCCTCAGCATCCCCATCTTAAAGGATTTGCAAGATACTTTCAGTGCTTGCCTTTGAGTCAAAATCACTTTGTTAGTGGAAGAAGACCGTACCAGCATTTACAAAGTGTGCCAGGCAGTCCATGGTTTGGAATCAATAGACTGTTGAAACTAGTCTTTGTAAAGTGGAAGTAAATTATAAAAACAATTTATTCTTTTTATAGAAAAGATTTTTTAAATTTTTGTAAATAGAAATTTCAATCAAGAACCCATATTGTTCCCCAGTAGCTACCTATTAAGAAGTTAGATTGAGACAAAGAAAAATATTTCAAAAACAGAATTTTCTTCACTTCTGTTGCTATATTTGATCAGCACAGGCTTGCTATCCTTAAAGCCATTTTAGAAGTGAACTAAATTATGAGCATCTATTATGCAGTGTTTAAGAGAATATGCAATCAAGCCAGACTGCCTCAGTTCACATTTTGGCCCTGCCACTTACTGGCTGTGTGACCTTGGACAATTTACTTAACCTCTCTTAGGTAGTTAATTTACTTTCATAAGGCTGATAGGAGGATTCATAAGGCTCTTAGAAGAGTGCCTGGCACATAATAAACACTCAATAAATATTAACTGTAATTAATAAATAACAGAAGAGCAGCATTCTGTGGCTCACAGAGCAGATGAGGCATGGATGTGGAGGTCTGGAATCATAGAACGGTCAGGGCCCACAAGGAGGTGTGTGGTGGGGAAGGGAGTGATGCAGAATGGAGGGGAAAGGAGCGTGGGGGCCAGAGCAGATGTATAAGTCTGTGTCACAGGACCAGAGAACTTAGAGGCAGGGTACTTTCCAGCAAATGTGCTTTGGTGTCCCGGAAGAGGTGTACCTATAAGTAAAAACATTTGATCGAGAAGACTGCCATAAGAGTAGATATAAGCCCTTCAGTTTTTTTTCCACAGGGGGACAGGGCATGGCTTTTTATACCAGCCGCATCAAAGGATGTTTTTTTAATTATTCAGGCCTTCTATTTTAAGGCATCACGGTAGACATTTTGCTCTCTTGTGTAATTTTCACAACCACCTTACAAGATACTATTCTAATTGTGGCGAGAGGTTGTGATTTGCCCAGAGTTAGCTAATCAGTAAGTGATACGACCAGAATTCTAAGTCAGATATCTGACCCTGAAGCCCACCCTGAGATTGTTGATAAAACAACCTAAATTTTCAGTCCTAAGAAGGGTGATGACAGTTGTCTTTGTACACTATGAGAGAGAAGCTTGCAAATGAAGCTAATATGATAAGAGTTTCTGCCTAGGGACTGAGAGGTAGCATTTGTGCTTGGATCTTGGCCTAAGTAAGAAAACGACAAGCCAAAGTCCTTGGGCTTTCCAGTTTGGACTCTAGTCTGATAATCTCCTACATCCTTTAGCCAACTGTCTGCTAGAAGCTGGAATCAGACCAGAAGGAAGCCTGAGTACATTATGGAGAGGATGTAACATTATAAGACTTCCATTCTTGTCCAAGTGTCTATATAAATCCTGGCACCAGATTGAACCTCGATTTCGTTTTCTGCCAAATGTTGCCAGTGACCTTTTCCTTTACCCACTGATCATATGTGGGTAGCCCATCCAGAGCCTTAGAAGAAAGATGCAGCATGAACCAACCTATCGATTCCATAGCTTTCAGAGAGAAACTTGAGAATTTCCCATCATCAGAGCTAAAATAGACCTGAAATTGAACCCGCTTTATGGAGTGCCACAAAGTGTCAGACGCTGTGTCTTCCCTGTTTTATCAGTCACAAGTGTGCCTACATAGTAGTTCAGCATAGTGCTTAAAGCACAGTCTTTAGAATGAGGCAGACCTTGGGTGGACACTGCAGCCTCTGACATAGGACAAATCATGTCACTTCTCTGAGCCTCAGTTTCCTGTGTAAATGGAAGTGGTTGAATCTATTTCACAAGGTTGTTGTGAGGATTAAATGAGATAGAGGTGCGGTTGTTATTAGGCTAGAGTGGTCATCATCTTTATTTTATAGAAGAAGAAACTGAGCCTTTAAGGTGGTGATTTGCTCATCATCCCGTGAATAATAGTTAGGGGGCCTAGAAGAATGTGTCTTCTGTCCATTAAGTCTAGTGAAAGAGCTGAATCTAATTATTTTGTTTCCTAAATAGAAGTTGCTATAGAAAGGGGATTCAGTTCTTTAAACATCAGTTTAATCTCCTTTGATCTCCTTTCCTTTTCAAGGAGGCCTTTCATTATTTCAGTACCTTCATGAAGTTTCCTTAATTTAAGGCTATACTAAGGAAGAGCTTCAACTCGAGGTGGGCAGTCACCCAGACAGCTGGACTGTGGCAGGGGAGCATATCTCTGGGTCTCAGTTTGTGGCCTCTTTCGCCTCCTTTAGTTTCTCCTTGAAGACCCAGGAGAAGAGACCGCTCCTCCTAGAAGCCTCCCCAGACCACCTGGCTGCCATTCCCTGGGCTCTGGTAGAGTCCCTCTCCTTACCCCTCTCTGATCACTGATTCCACTGAATGGATTCGCCCACTCCCACACTGGACTGTGACCACACACCCCCATCCACCAAGGGCAGGGCCTGGGTCTGAGTTCCCCCTACATCCCAGTGCCTGTGGCCAGGTGTGGTTCATTCCCTGGGAGGGAGGGAGCCTCCTGAGTCCCTGGCATCACCAGGCTGCTCACTAGGGCACCGAGGGGCAAGTGTGTGATACCGTTTAAAAGGAACTTGGGCTTTGGGTGAGCATCTTCAGGTATAAGGGTTTCTTCGTGGTGGTACTTGGGATTCCCCCCTCCCCCCACCCCACCCCCCTCCAATTTACTAAATAAAAAAGCAACTGTAGACAGTGAATGACTGCTTCTCCTGGTGTGTTTCCATCTCCCCTTCGTGGTGCTTATTCTTAGTGAGCCAGTCCCTCCTCCCGCGTGTGCTCTTTTTGCCAACCCTGGAGACTCCCTAGTGGTTCTACTTGGCTTCTGGAGGGTTTGCCTTCTTCAGTTACAAATTACTAATCTCT